CAATCACGCAGTCACGCAGTCACGCAGTCACGTAAGTTTTGACTTTGCCGATATTGTTGTCGACACACGAAGCTTAAGCGCATTGTTGTTTTTTTTTCTTCTAACGAGGTAAGTAAACGATTGGGTTATCGAACGTGATTACAATTTTGAACGAATTCGTCGCAGGAAGACAAATCACCTTTTTTTGGGCCTGCCACGATGTGCTGGTTTCTTGTCAAATATCTGGGAAGCTTTATATCACCAATATTATTATCTGCATTTGCAACTGGTATTCTGGAATAAAATAATCATGCACGATACTCTCTTCTCCGCTCGGTGCAATCAATTTTAATAAAAACTTTAAGTACGACGGATACTTATATTGCAAGTAAATATATCGCCACTTGATTCATTGCCGTAATTAAATTTATTTCGAGGAGGCTGCTGTAGTTGTTAACGCACTTCTTATTTTTTACCCCGAGTGAGGCTTAAGTTTAGTTTGAAGTTTATGTAACGCTATAAATTTTAAACAGTTTGGACTGCTGATTGGATGGACGCCATGAACAATAGATATAGTGATATATTAGTCTAAAATATAATTTTCTTTATATTTGCAGTCATATCGTTATAAATTTGTAATAAAAGTTAATTTTCATTAAATCAGAAGTGATTGCGCGGTTGCAACGCAAACTCAGCTGGAAAATGAAGAAACCGAAGCCCCTGGAGCAGCGATAACTTGGCGCAAGAGCAAAAATGTCAAGCTCAACTCTATCCGCCAGTTGGTTTTTATAACAAAGCGTCGATCGACCGTCCGAAACTACAACTCTCTCTCTCTCTCTCGCAGATGGGAGAGTTATTGAACCCCACCTTCGAGCTCGTTTTCTCTCTTCTCCGCTGGTCGTTCTGGTTCTTCTTCAATTTTTTTTTCAGCTCTGGGCGCAGAGCTCTTCCTCGCGTGCATTTCCCCTTGGTTTGCGCGGGGCGTGTATGTTTGTTTAGCCTCGGTTCTGCACCCTGTTATTAGAAGCAGTAACGTAGGATGATGCGCTCTGTGTGTGTAGCCATCGCCAATTTTCTCTCTCCCAAAGATTTTTGCATTATCTTGCGTTTCGAAGGATTGCTGTTTGCTGCTTGTTTATGACCAGACGTGACTTTGTTTTCGCTAGTATTGATCACTTTTTTAATGGCCAGCCTACTCCTTGCGTTCTCTTTTCCCAAGATCCGCGTTGCACACACTGATTGCTGCAGCAAGTTCGTGCGCTCCTTTTTTTCTCGGACGGACGTTCAAGTGCGAGCTTTCTAAAAAAATCGAAGAAACAGGCACTTCCTTTTAAGAGCTCGCAGAGGGGGTAGGGCGTTTTTAGAAAATTGCAAATGTTCAAATGAAAATGGAAGACTCCGTTGGGAGTGTGTTGCTGCTTTCGAGGAATGGGAAAAGGAACAATTGAAATTCCTTAAAGAATCTTCGTGGGTATTCACTGAAATATGCTTTAAACCAATATCTCTAATTTTTTTTAAATATATCTATCTCGAGATAAGTAATGGTAGGCTTTGAGAAAGTATATAACGAGAGGCGGATTCATCCGCGGAAAGTATAATGAAGTTACCATTTATCTTTCATCAGCAATTGGACGCGCGAGCGAAACGGGATAAATTTTATTTGCATTTTTACGGGAAAACGCGCACGTTTCTTCGTGAAATTGATAAAACTGACTTTTTATTCTTCTGCGGAAACTTGTACTGTAAAATTATACGTTTAAGCTACGGTGATTAATAATATGTATTTACCTGTCTTATTAAAATATTTCTCTCCCAGTTACTTTACTCGTCAGTAATTTCCTGTCTAAAGAAATTTAAAGTATATTTCATATTGCTACCTAATTAAATATCTTTTATAAATATCAGTAGTCAAATCGAAATTTCAAAAAATTTCAATCTGACCTGTCTCTTGTCTCCTGATTGATTAAAATCTACAACAGGTGTGGGTTCATCCAATTACGTCATCAATATAAAGCTATATCTCAAGAGCAGCATGCACCCCACGATTACAATCATGATAGATCACCGAAACATCATAAACATGTAAAAATGCCCTGCCAATTAACAGATAAATCAATTCCAACTGGAAATATTAGTCAGTGAAAAAATCTAACATCTCTGACGAAAAAAAGGAACGAAAAACCCACGCAACGCACAACCAATGAATAATGACGAGCTCGTTTGTCCTTTTTATCAAGATCCAAACGCGAGTCACTATCGAAAAAAGAAGCATCCAGAAGAAGAAAAGAAAACAAATGCAATCCTCTCGCGCGTCCGTTAACAGCGGGCGAGCGCGCGAAAGGGGTGAGCAGAGAATATAATTCATAAGCATATACACGTATAAAACTATTAAGTTTCCTTCGGGACTCCCGTGGCGAGCGCCGCGCATAAATTTACGATTATCTTTTTCCGGACGAGAGAGAGAGAAAGAGAGACTGGCTTCCCTCGGGCAGTAGTAGGTCGATATACAGTGTGACATTGAAACTATGTAAGCGCCTGGGCGTCCTCCTGTTCGCCATTATGTGACGCTAGGGAGAGAAGGTAGGGAATGTACACGCGATAACGAGCACGCGGAACATCGTGGGAAGAGCCATAGATGTATTGTGATGTTTACAAAGGATTATCATACGTTATATAAGCGCGCCGTGGTTATGCTGCTTCGTGAGATATACATATGCACTGTATCGAGGTGATATGACCTTTCCGATAGCTATCGTTATCTAAGCTTGTAGCAACGTTAACGAATCATTGTTTGCATATTTATTTCTTATTTTGCGTGGCAACTCGAATGAATGCAGCCGGACGTTTTCTGGAAAAAAAACATTAAAGATTATAAATATTTGAAGGTTACAACTATTGCATTTGACGTTATAAATAATCAGTTCTCGCTAATGCCGAAACCATACTAAACGGGAAGTTCAGATAAATGGAAACGTAATGAGATACACGTCTTATAATCTCATATAAATTCAATTTCTTCTGTCGTAAATCAAAGTATATTGTATCGCTTCTTTGAGATCTAGACGGACAAGCCTCAATCAACAGCTTAAATGTAGAAAGGGTGAAACTCCTTTTTCTTCCTACGATAATATCCATTGATAGATATACCAAGGCTAACTTGGTGCTTCAAGTTGATCTGGTTTCCATCCTTTGAGCAAAGGCAGGATATCCAAACCTTGAGCGAGGAGAAGAAAACGTTGAAACTGTCGAAATAAGTGACAAGAAAAGTACAGAAGGCGTTAGAAGATTAATTCACTTATGCGGTGGCTGGACAATTGTATAGATTAGTAAGTGCAGTTAAGGTAATCTGCTATCATCCCAATCTACGATCGTTGCAGTCTTTGTTCTTATCTGTATCTGATCCACTGACAGTCCAGACAGCAATTTTGTCTTGGCTTAAAAAAGTGACTTTGATTGGTACAATAAAAACGGGCTCCAATTATAGAGCACATTCGTCAAATTTTCCGTCGTTAGAAATCACCTTCGAATTCTATGACGTCACTTTCGAGACGTCACAGCGATCATTTCGAGAGAATGATATGAGCTGTGCACTTAAATCGATCATCATAAAAAGTTACTCGTTCTTTCTCAGTGGCGAAAATGAAGGTAACGTACAATGGTGTGCACGTTGCTGCTGTTGTTTAACATTGTGTTCGCGACGCTTTATATACCAGTATCCAGAACTATGGCTAACCAATTGAAAATCAAAAGGTATTTATTTCATCCAATCTAAGAAATTCTTTGCTTAAATTGAACAGATGTGGAAAACCCTCTGATGGATCATATACGAAGCTATTATCCAAATCCTTAGACTAAGTAATCGATTTTTTCTTGTTAATTATAGTTTCGGCGAATTCGTACTCTTACAGTCATATATCATTTTCCTTATGTTTTCCAATTAGTATTTTATATCACGAAAGTAATTTAGCCACATACGTAGAAGTTGAACTGTAGCTTGCAGTTGGAAAAAATTTAATTCAATAATTTTCACAAAGAACGATAGGCGTTACAAGAAATGCGCTCTGTTTAAACAAAAATCGGACAATGCTAGGAAAAGAAAAAGAAAAAAAATCAATTTCGAATTGAGAATGGCACAATAAACGAGACCGAAGTAAAATCGACACGTCTTTCACACGCTACAAAAGATTTACCCAACCCTTCGTGGCGCGCACCCGCAAATCCGTGGCGCGTTGATTTCTTTCAGTCGCACGCACTATATACGCACTTCAATTCGCTTGCGCACTCTCGCCCCGTGTTTGTTTAATTTAGCGGCGCATTGTCGCGCGCCGGAGGGGCATCCGGGCTTTCCGCCATATTCGCGGGTGCCTCGCAGTCGCATGAGTAATACTCGATTCGCGAAGTCGCCTGGGAAAAGAAGAGTGGGATGATGCAGCTTTTGTGCCAGATTAAAATGTTTGCGAATGCTGCGTCGAGCTTTCTAAATTTCCTTGTGGCGTGTTTCCATTCCTGTCCCCGCGCGAAAATTATCGAGCGCCTTTCGCGCGTATAAGTATTCAACACGACGGCTTAGCATTGCAAATCGGATGTAATTTCTAATAAATACAAAATTTCAAAAAGACATTTAAATCCAAGATTTTACATTGAATTCAAGGAAATTTGTCAAGTCTCGATAAGGAACGTTAACATCTAATGTTACATTAACACTGACTGCATATTACGTACTTTTTCTAAAGTGGATTATAAGTGAGAAGAAGTGTACGATATATTTTTGTTAAAGGTCACGATAAAATCACGGTAAAATCACGATAAAATAAAATTTTTACTAACGCAGATTCCTTTTTACCTTCGAGCGTCCTTATAAACATAACCAAGTTTGTGCCGACATCTTGCAGCGGATTGAAGAACTGCTACAGACTGCGGTACCTGCCTTACGCATTATTGATCACAACTTCCTCCTAAATGGAAAGTGTACGTACAATAATAATCATTGTGTTAAAAAAATAAAGTTAAAGGAATTGATTTCATCACATTTGTTTATTTATTAAAGCAATAATAAATTACTAATTAAATAGAGCATCCCTAATCGTACAGCAAATAAAAAATCATTAATTTTTACAATAAAACATGTTATGCAATAAATAAGTAGTTACATTTTACAATTTGTAAATGAAAAATTATAAAATTAAACCATCACATATTAACTGACCATAAGTTTGTAATAGTAGCTTTCTTTTTTATCGTCAGTTAGGAATAAATATATTACCTATATTGTCATTAAAATGTAAATTTTCATTATCTTATTTACAGTCCAAACATTATATGGAACTTTACTTAACTCAACATTTATACGGGATAATAGCTTTCCAAGTCGAATTTATCTTAACTAATGAATATGTTTCAATGGTAATTGTGATTTTAATGAGCTTAGACGCGACAATTGAACGAATAACGTTCAATTAATTAAACGTCATTCATTCGATTACTCCATGAAGATTGTCAGAAAAAAGAAAGAAAGAAATAATTCGGCTTGGATGATTATCACACTTATGATTTTTAAACAAACAGCTTAAGACACTTGATTAGTCTCCACATCTTCCGGGCAATTTTTTTGGTCTGTCCTAATGAAGAAAGCTCGAGTGATCTTATTCTTATCTAAAGCTTGATAAGCTTTCTCCAGAGTAGCAACAGGTGGGTGCTGCTCTCGGGTCAGGATCCAGGCATTCCGTGTGCTAAAATTGAGATGAACAAAAATGTAAATCTTTTCTCGGCAGTGAAGTATATAAATTATCATACCTGAAGATGCCAAAGTCAGAGCAGCTCCACACAACGGAGTAAGTAGTGTAATCAGTGTCAAGAATCCAGTAAGGAGCGTCAAACTGTACCGGCAAAGATGGAAAAGCAACGGACAATTTAGCCTTTTCCTGTGTCTTCTGTGCAGCGTAACCCTCGATGCTCGTTGCCACTCCACTTCTGCGTAAAAACAATAAGATTGTTTCTAACGCCCGCACTTTTTACGAACAATTGTTTCTCTTACTCTACGCATCCTATGAGCATACTTACAAAATTGAGATTTGCCTGTTGGCGACGCTGATAGTGCCGTTGGCATTGACGTTGTAGGTTGCGGTGACGCATTTGCCACCGAACTCGAAGAAAGCAAAGTAGCGCTCTGCTTCGTACCACTTTCCCAGGTACTGAAAGTCAAAATGGTTTTACCGTGTATTATAATATATTGACTGCGATTTTTACTTGAAAATCCGTGGAAATTACATATCTGCGAGCTTTTACCAAATGAGTTTACGCACTATTACTGTACTATACTCGCGCCCTATTTTTGTTTTACTGTTATTTATTACATTATTTATATCATGCAATAATAAATATACGTAATAGCAATGGTTTTCTACAACCTCAATAGTAATACATTTCTACATTATATATACTTTTGATGCCTCTAATAGTTTCATTAATTAAATTTACCGATGAAATATAAATTTCACACTTCTACATACATCATACAGCTATTTCAACGTATACGATAATTCAAAATTTCGCGCTCTTTCATTGCATCATCAATCACAACGCTGCATGTCGGCGACTCGTCAGATTTTAAGATAGGACAAGCCAGCATGTAAAGTGAATTAGAGTCGAGATACTGCAATTTATGCAATGAGATTTCTTTTTCAACTGATCATCATAGTTGTTTTTAAGAAACTCGATGGAATGTAATAAATCATTAAATTTGTTAAGAGAATGTTGTAAAAAAACGATGATTTTAAGCGATTTTCAGTAGTTTTGTTGATTATAAAACCGCTATATTCTTCCATTTTGCGGTATCACGAACAGACAGGAATAACTATTATGATATAATTAGAAAATACTGTGTCAGCAAGTCTATTTATGATAGTCGAAGCAATCATTTTAGAAACCAGTAACATCGGTGAAATTGAGTTTGATTTTATGGACCTTTAAAATTAATGTTGTATAAATGATCGGAAATTATAAATGATAGTGAAAAATGTCAGAAAGTTAGAACTTTCTTTTCACTATAAACTATTATTCTTCCTTGTAATAAAAAATCAATTGCTAAAGTAGAAAAGATTTTACCAACAGATTTTTGTTTTAATTTAATCACAACCAATAAAAAAAAAGTAAATAGAGTAAATAAATAAAGTAAATAAATAGATAAAGTAAACAGTTTTTACCTTTTGTGGATCAAAATTAGCCAACACTTCCACTTTCGGACATCCTCCCAAAAAAGGTACCTGAGCAGCTGCACTGCCGATCATAAGCAATCCTACGCACATCCACATCATCTTGAGCTTTATCACACAAGATTATAAAATCTGAAAATAAGTTCGACAATTATTCAAATAATACTTGGAAAATACGTGAACCTCGTAAAACGAAAAAAAAAACATTTGAAACGACATACAATCGAGTGAACGCGACGTGGAACGGGTGCGGTTTAATGTAGACGCGCCGTTGGTACGCTGGTTTTAAACTTGAAAGCGCGTTTGTTTTTTTCCCTCACCATGTTACGCTTGTGCTCATCTTTTATTACCGACGAGAGCGTGACATTTACAGATGTGAATAAATGGCACTTAAATAGCCAATCATCCAAGTACGCACTTCTGTGACACGCGACACGTAAGTTGCATTACATTTTTCTTGTGTTACATGCTAGCAAAAAAAAGGTTTGAACGTTTCGAAGAACAGTTTTATGCTTAATATTATTTCTATAAAATATACTATTCTGGAAGATTCTGATAAGATTTTGTAGGTACAAGGCCGAGTCATTCAGTCACAAGTTCAGCGGCGAATGGTTATTTGGGATAATAAGAATAAACCAAACTCGAACTTGAATGATACCATAAAAACGTATATTAATTGCCCGTTGTCAGAAGTTACAGCATTAATTTTATAACATTACAAGGCTATGCGATTCCGATGTCAAATAAAGTGCCAAAAAAGATGTGAGAAACTGCATGAAAATTGGATATGCGTGTGATGAAACACAAGAATCTTTTACTGCCCCTGCTATTTGTAATATTCTTGCAACGTTTATTCGCAGCCCCAATCATCAATCATTTGCTTTTCATTTACCCAAGTCTTAACGAGAATGAGTAATTTGAAAAAATCTTGTACCGCGTCCTTTCATATTTCTAGAAATGTGACTTGCAAAATAAAGTAGATTTTTTAATGGCGCACATGAGGCTTTTACTTATGTAATATTTTTCATCCTCGTTGGAAAATAACAGAAATAAACAGTGCCATCAATTTGGAAACTTTGATGATTCGTTAGCTTCATTTTTAGAGTTTCCAAGCACAAATTCTCAATTGAAATAATGTTATGTATATTTTGTTCGATCTACATCAGACAGATGATTTGTCCAAAATTTATTAAGCACGATAACGCATGTTAATCATAATTAATTCTTTGAAAACGTTTTTCAAAAAACGATCTGAAAAATAATGTCTCTTTTCATTATTTTAACAATTTTTCAGCCGACGACTACACCGCAAATTCAGGACAAATATAATCTTCAATAGAAACTAACGCGATATCCGTAAATTCGCTAACCTTGACCCAAAAATCATTACCGACTGTGTGTAGAATCATGTAATTTTCCTTTTGATTAGAAAAATGCTTCTATTATAAAAACTATCCAATCATGAATCAACTATCCAAGCCACGTCTCTCGATGAATCGAATAATGAATTTATCGCTAAAAATAAACGTGTGCACGTGGAAATACTGTCAAAGTAATAAGCGAGCGCACAAGATGAACATCTAAGCTAGAGGAACAAAATGTGTATCTGCTTGTCTACGGTACTTTAAAAGTACCTAACCGTCGGATATATCTCCTTCCCAACAGAGCGATCCCAGAGTCGAATTAACTGTTATAATCCACACTCGTTATGAAAACGCGGAAGCACACGCACACACACATAGTGTCCCAGAAACGTGATCTTTCACTAATAGACTTTACCTGTTGACCTTGAACTTGTCTCTCTCTCTAACACACAGATGCGTTCGACGGCGAAGGTGCCACACGACTGTGCTGTTCGAGGCTTTGATTTTTCATGTGTCGCTCTCTCTCTCTCTCTCTCTCTCTCTCTCTCTCGCTTGCTTACTACAATTCCATTTTGTTTACTGGGTCAGTAACGGTTAATGCCGCCAGAGAGAAACTGCGAGGCAGGTTCAAGAAACTCTGAGCTAATTTACCCGGGACCTTTTTGTCGCGTATGCGTGGATTTTTTTTGATTTTTGCCAAGAATGTAGCGGTTAATCGTATATCTCTCGAGCTTTCTGTCCATCTTTTTTTGTAACAATACCCAACGCAAGTATGCTGGTTGCGTCACTATATATTGTTTGACGTGAAGCGAGTGCACGTAAATGAAATTGTACGTGTGTACGTCATTACGTGACTTTTTTAGGAATGCATTTACTGTTTTTGCAAAAAAATACGCGGTCTACAGTAGATCGTTGATTTTCGATAAAAATGTTTAATTTTTAACTTGTCACTTAATAAATAAGGATCTTAGCGTGTCAATGAGAGTAAACGATTGATTAGTTTTTATAAAGAAGATTTTTTGTAACAATTTATTTTCACTTTTCTGAGTTTTTTTTTCTTCACGTCGATACATTCGTTGTTTTTTTTTTTTTTTTCATTGTCATTGCATTTTTTCGAATAAATAAATAATAATGAATGATTCGATGGATGAATATAATGAAGGCAAAGGAAATAATAAGGGACAATAATAATAATAATAAGTACCAAACAAGCGAGACTGGCAACTTTTGAGTCGAAAACTGTGAAGTCCGTTACGGTTTTTCTTCCCGCAAGTCACCGCTACAAGCCCGAGGCATTGAAAAAAAAAAATAATGAGGAAGTAATTGAAAAAGACGACGAGGAGTTGGGAGGAATGAGGGTTAATCTCACATTGTATATCGCAGCTCTATAAATGTGTACAGAAAGGAGGAGAAAGTGAGGTGAGGTGAGTAAGCCGAACGAAATGTTGAGACTATCTAAGGTTTGACGATCTCGATTTGCTCCTCGACGATTTGCTGTTTCTTCTCGTCCGCGACGACTGGAGCTGTTTCTTTGGGTTCATTGGCAGGCTTCTGTTCCTTGATGGGTTCTTTGGCCGGCTCCTTAACCGGTTCCGATGCCACTGCTGCCAGGGCAGCTTCTTGCTTCTTCTCTTTTGCTTGATCGGCGATCTTCATTATCACCTCCGGCACTGATTTCACGCTCTCCTCTGCTGCTGCTGCTGCTGCTGCTGCTGCTGCTGGAACTGCAATTATTACATTTTATCGTTATAACTATAATTAAGGCGGCGAAAAGAATTGTTATTTTCTTGTCGGATAGAATTTTTGTCAGTTCTGCATTCGTATTAAATGAAGTAGTCGTTCATCGGGCCGTTATTATTAATTTAAATAGAGGGGGTCAAACTTAAAAACAGTTTTAATTTCTTGTTACTAATAATTCCTACTGCGGTATTTCAAAGTCAACGTACATTCCCGAATATCCATCCCCAAAACAATTTTTCATGAATACCTCGCGACAGTGCTGCGTACCTGAGTACAGCCCCTCGCAATTACACTAACTCACATTCAATCTTTATTCTTTTATTGTGTGCGTATCTACCTTCGTTATCGACAATATCAATGAATAAAATTAAGCCTTTAACGTATGCGCGATAATCTGCATTCCAAACGACGAGCAAAAAATGAAGGAGATCTTACCAACAGGTTCGGGGGCCTCGACCGGTTTGGCCTTCAAGGCGTCGACCTCAGCCTTCCTTGTCTGGATTATGGCTTCAGGCGCATCGGGGGTGATCGGAGCACTTCTCAATGGCTGTGGTGTCTCCTCAGCTTCCTCGATAATTTCATCTTCTACTTTCGGTGGTTCAGTTGGTGCGGCACTACTAGCTTCGGCCGCCAAAGTATCGAGGTAAGCGCAATCGTCGTGGTTCGTCTTCACGAAGAAGATCTGGGATATCTTGTACTTCTGAAGCACTGCGTACGCCTGCAAATCAGTGCGTATTTTTTCGTGAGTCTACTTTTTTCGATTCACCATTGCTGATTTCTTTTCGAGCCGTGTCAACTTACCTTCTGCATGATTTCAATACTGGGATTCCTGGATCTGGTCATGATCCAAGCGTTCTGTGCGTGCACTGGGCCAATACCAGAGCAACTCCACAATACAGCGTAGCTGTCGTAGTCAGTGTCGAGAACGTTGTATTGAGTTTCGAGTGGGATCAGAGGTACAGTCGTGTACTTGACGTGAAGTTTACCTTCCTCAGTCTTCAACGGGGATTTTCGGATGACACCCTCGAGTACTCGTTTGATACCAGTGCTGAAAGAAAAATCACAATTCTCAGCGTCTCGTCTCTAATCGCTTTACGAAAGCTTCGACGATCGATACTCACAATCGGCTAGTGACTTCATTGGTAACGTGGAACAGCTTGTCGGGTCCTAACGTGTAGTTCGACCTAACGCAGCGAGATGCAACTTCGGTCAATTGGAAGTACCGCTCGGCTTCGTACCAGACTCCGGCGAACTGCAAGAGGTTTCGATGAATTATTCACGTCAATTTACGAACCGGTGAAATCGCGCGCTCTCGAGCTTGCAAAATTCACAATGGCTTGTACAGTGATATATAAAAATTAATGACTCCTTCTAATTAACACTGTTTTATCGCGGCAATTGCCGTGAGTGCTGACGATCTTTATATCTTGCGAACGCGCCGTAACGGTAAAGACATAATGAAAAGCATAGTCTTACTAGTGAAATATTGAAAAGCGATCTTTTCTGCTAGATTGAGCCTAAATTTAAAAATGATTATTGCATCATTGTGAATTTGATATTGGATGAGATTTGTAAACGAAAAATCAATTAAACCGCGTTTTATGAAATAAACAATTACAAAACGATCGAAAGAGAAGAAGAAACCAACTCACTCTTTCCATAGTGAAATTCTCCTTTGGCTGATATTCCGGGCAAAATCCAAGACTTGGAATTTGCGCCTTGGCTGCAACAGCCAAAACGACTAACAACAACACAACACTCTTCATAGTTGTCTAATGTTAAAACAATTTTAAAAAAAAAAGAACAGTTCTTTCTGTCGGTCAGTCTCTGTGGCGATCTCTGTCCACGGCTGCACGGGAGGATCTGCCGTCGTTGGGCAAACGTCCTCGGAGCCTTATATACCTCGGAGATATTAAGCGGCTATGGCAGCAGGGGGCAGGTAAGAGCGTTGACCGGCTCGCATCCCCTCTTATTCCAATCGAACAGCTTCACTCGCGCGCGCGCCTTCCCCTCCTTTCCTTACCTGCGCTTGTGCTGGCTCTGTATATTGTATACATGCGTACGGTACAAGCTTTTACGCTGATAGTCGTAGATATAAGACGATGCAGAACGTGGGAAATCACGAAATTTTTCGCTGGCACGATGCTTTTTTTTTCGGCCAAGCTTGTTTACGCCACGAAGGGCTTCGCCGCGTAAATATCCGTCGCGCGGGCTTTTTAATTAGGGAAGCCGATCGCGCTTATTTCTTTATCCGAAGGTGGATAATTGGTCGTTTGGGAAAAGGGCTAATCGATTTCTGGGATATACTCGGAAAGGTACATGAATTTTATATTTTATTGGCTGCCGCAGAGAAATTCGAAAGTGGGAGAAATTGCCGTCGTTTCGGAGGGCGATTAAAAGTGAATGTTTTACAGGAGCGATTTAAGGGACAATAACTTTGAAGCATCAAAATTTTAATTATGCTAATAAAAGCTCTTGCTGTTGCATGTTATTTCTTTGTGAAACTTTTAATTCCTTTTAACAATAGATAAATACAACAACATAGTTTACGATTAAAATGGAATATTTTTATAATTTTATATTTCATATTTTTTATAGACTTTTATCTTAAATCAGTGTTCCGGCTAAAAATTTCATGGTCAAATCGGAAAATCAAAAAACAGTGATGCCATTTCTGTAAAAATAAATTAAATTTTTATTTGTCAATTTCGTTGACATCGATAACGCAAATACTTTTTAGTGAAGCTGGGTAAGATGATAAAATCTACGTGAAAAGTTTACACTGGAAGAAATTGTACACTTTGAAAACAATTATTTACTATACTGATAGATACCTCGACTATGAGCAGCGTATATACTTATCAATAAGACTTGAAAAAATTCACTGAGAATCAAGGTACTCAAAAGCTTTAATGGCTGATACAGTCTTGAGCGATCATTTTCATAAAAATCCATCGCAACATTATTAACGTAACGTAACAACAAAAGTGGTGCGCAAAGCAAACGTTTTTACCTGCAGTTCTCGCGAAGTCAGGTTAGCAAGCGAAGAAGAAGAAAAATACGTGAGAGTTTCTTGCACTCGAAGCTGAAGAAGCTCTTGCTTCGCGACAATTCCTCGTATTCAGTAATCGTCTGCAGCGGAAAACTCGTGGTCGCCTACCATATACGACATCACACGCGGAGTTTCAAGTTCAACGGCGCGCCTCCTTTTTCTTTTTCGTACGTATCTTTTCTTTCTTGGCATCGAAAGTGCATTATCTGGAATTCGACGTGTGCGCTCGCTACTTTTTGCTCGCGCTCACTTATATGCGCTTAGAACGCATTAGACGAAGAGGTCGTTTACACTGTAGAGAGAGAGAGAGAGAGAGAGAGAGAGAGAGAGAGAGAGAGAGAAAGAGAAGAAGAGGACTTGGCCGTTAGGATACATTTGCATTTTTATTCATGCTCTTTCTCTTCGGCCTCGAGTGTTTGTGGAACGATCGACCGGCGAGAGACCCTCCTCTTCGTACTTCTTCGAGAGATGATGCGCTTGATGCTCATAAGGGAAAAAAAAACAACATTGATTTCCTGATTGCCAAGCTACATCTTTTTAGCTATGCGACTACTACAGCTATGAAAAGGGTTTGCCGGTACTCAAGATGAAGTAGCTCTGATTTTTTTCATTGCTGCTCTAACGGTATTTTACCTACGGTTTTGTTGTCGTTCTATTTTTAGATGTTATCAGCTGAATCATTATTGGTAACATAATTCCAGATTCGCTTCGATAATAATCAGCTATTGGTATTCCATCTCGATGAATTTTTAATTTTAATTAACTCTTATAAGTACAGTTTGGTTAACCTTGCCGCATACATTGTCAATGATAACCATATTAGATGATCGTAATGTTCATTTGCATATTACAACTAATCTGATAAAGATTCAGGTTATCTCAGCGGATCATGCTAATAAAGCTTAGAAAAAGATACGTTTACCTCGTGCGAAAACGCTATTCTAGGCTAACGAGGTACAGTTCCACTTACACAGAAAAGTTTTGGCACTGCTTACGCATTTGAACGATCCATTAACAAGTCAATGACTCACTGTATTTTCCGTTTTATTTTCATATTAGTACTTCGATTGACCTCGATAAGAAAAAACAATTTTTCACGGTATGAGTTTCGACGTAGATGGTGTCGATAACCTTGTCTCATCTCCAAACTTGCTTCAATAAAAAGAATTTCGTCACGCAACTACTTTGCATAAGACATTATGATTTTTTAAATGAGTAGAGTTTGATATTTTTTCAAATGAAAATGTAGACTACGCATATATAAAGCTCGTAAGAATTTCGGCAATGATGCTATCGATCTATGAATTCGTCAAACGTTATTCTACATTATTTTTGAATTTTGATCGTTTTATTATGTATGCTAAAAAGTCGCTATAATTATATGCTGACTTTTTGGCACATGTAAAATCAAACGCTTCTCAAACGCTATAACTCAAGCATATAGTTTCCAAGTTTCAATTTCAATTCATGCATAAATTTTAATTGTAGGGAACGTATTTTAAAAATGCTAAATAAATTTTCGTAAATTACAGGCATTGTAAATTTATTAACTTAGATAACACTTTATACTATTTTATGATTGTTTATCAAAACGTAATTATTAATCATTAATTTTTATAAATACATTTTTAAATTTGCTAAAACCCTTCGAAGAGTTTAAAATTTGTCGAGATCGAAATTTTAGGAAACTAAAAGTCACCTTGAATTACCCGATTTCTGCTATTCGACTTAAATAAACCACATAGGATATTTTCTATTTCAACATTATTATAAATTTTGTACAGGCGAAGAGCCAAAGACTTTATTTACAGTATCGCGAGCAAAGGAGAAAATAAGTCGGTAAAAAAAGTACCTGGATGCGAATTCCAGGAGACAGTCGCACGTGTGTATCTAAAAAGTATCCCGACTCATTTACTCTGTAAAAATTTAAATAATCCCCATAAAAAACCAACAGGATTAAGCCATAAAAGTCCTCTTAGGCGATACTCCAGCTAGCATAATGATAGCTTAGACGATAAGCTAATGATCGACCAATCGCACAAGAAAAGCCATATCGAAAGAGCCTGAGTAAGCGAGCATTAACAGCCCGTCGTAAGATGCTGATGTGCGTGTACGTACAATTCACCTGCGGCGGAGTGTGTCTGGAACGTAGCCCACCGATGGACTAACGGGTCTCGCGGCTGCGACTTTTTTGTAAGTCCAACAACACCGTTAGAGTCGTCGCCGTAGAGTCGAGAGAAGAGGAAAAGGGTGAAATACTAAAACACAACTATACACACGTTTGATATGTGTCGTGTACCCCGTGCCTGTAGAAGCACCGATTGATCTTTTGCAATATCGGCGTACCGTTAAAATCTCTTCCGCGCAAGAGAAGTAATGACTTTGGGCTTACGGTTTTTGATTTAGCGACTGCATGCAGTTCGCTCAAGAACGTACTGAACTTGCATCTTGTAGTACGTGTATGTTTGAGAAGTGCATTGGGTTATCAGACGCTTGTAACTGTTGCTATGATAATCATCTGGATTGTCAGCTCGACAAAGCTAGGAATTTATTGTAATTCAATGAAATTGTGTCACAGTTTGGCCTCTATTTTTAGAATAAACTTCGAACCGTATGTGCTGAACTTGTTTGGCAAGATTAATTTTTGCATATTTGTAATTTTTTCACTCACTCGGATTCCAATGTTAGTCGATACCAAATTGTCTTTTGAACATGGGGTCGCGATTTGAAACAGCCTACATTGTGATAGATTATAAACGACTCTTCTATTTTATCTCGAGATCTGAATAATATAAAAACCAGCATAGCTCTTTTTCTCCAGTCGATGATGCAAATTAATCATATATGAAGGCATCATTGTAATTGATATTACTTTATTATTTTACTTGTTCAATTATTTTACCATACAAAAACTATGAATTCATAAGAATGCTGTGCAATCTTAAATAGTTTTTGCGCGTTAAGTTTCCGATTCAGCATGATCATTAAATTAGCAAATTTAGAGCTTTTACTACTTTTGCCAATCAGCTGTATTTGAATTAGACGTATTATGCTTTGTTATAATAAAGTGTTACAAATATTTTGTATACCAATAATTAGCCGTTACATCAATCCAGTACAATTATTTATTTTCATCACGACCGACAAAATTTCATGTAATAATTTATTACGTGAATAAAATACTAAGACAAAACAAATTCACTGAATGCTATTGTGTACCTAGTGATACAGTTAATAGATACAAATGTATTAACTATTATTAATCAAGTTATATTGCTTTAATGTCTTTTTAGTTTATGTGGAATACAAAACTTATAAGACTATAAAAAATTACTTTTTTGTTTTAAAATGATGTTTCTATAATCTTATTAAAGAAATATTAGTCTACGTAAGGTTGAGAATAAAAAGACGGAATATTAAAAGAAAGCATAAAAATGTTTTGGTGAAATCGGATAACCACTATATTCCTTATCCTTATTTTAATACATTCACACTTAACGCGACTATCAAACGGCAAGCGCGGCAACTAATTTCGTAACTGTTTAGTAAATCAATGAAAAAGAGATTTCGTCAAAATGGAAATATTCTTTTTGGAATATTAAACTTGGTCAATTATCTTATCGAATGATTATACTTATAAACCATGACGTGGGATAAATAAATATAACGTCATATAGTAAAATTTTTCAAAATTAATGTATTTCTCATAAGTCTATGAACACTAAAAAAGCATTGGGTGCGGAGAAACGCGCGCTCCGCTCGTCGGAAGAGTTTGCTTACGAACTATTGCTCTTTTTCTTTTTTTCTTTTTTCATTTATTCATCGATTTAATTGTGTCTTGTTCTTCGTCGCCGTCTTTCGTCGTCGTCGTCTCACCCAGATACTTCCGCAAAGAGTAAGAGGCACGTCGATGAGAGAGTGTGTGCGTGTGTTTTGCGCGCGCGTTTAAGGTGAAGGAGAGAAAAGAAAGTAAATAGAATAGCTTTAGAAAGATAGAAAGGCTTTTGTAAAAGGAAAGCTACAAATAAAATAATGAAGGACAGAAAGAGAGAGAAACAGCGCGTGGCATTCCTCGCGCGCGAGATCATGAAAAAAAAAATTTTCTTTTTTTTCCTCCTTAAAGGCAATTTCAAAGATTCTCTTTTTATATTATAACATCCGTGCATTTTTGACAAAAATTATATCTTTACAAGATTAAAAAGAATGAAACAAGAAAACACAAGATGCTAATACTCGCAGCGTGCTTACAATACAACAAAGAAAATTAAATTCTCATCGCACGCTCTTATATTTTTTGTACTATAAACGAGAGGATCGCCCTCCCCGCTCGTTCGTCGTTCTCTTTTACAATTTTTGTTTTTGCTTATCATCATCATTATACATTTTATGAATGTACAATTTTACTCGAAGACCTGCGATCATCCTTTTTCTTTATATTTACAAATACAGGGACTTTTTTCTCTTTCACTTACAAGACTAATGGGGGTTCTGCTTTTGCATCGTACAAGGTAATACTTACATCATTACAGATATTTATATCCATCTATCGTCTAAAGGTAAAAACTACATAAAGGAGGGTGTCGAAAAAATAAAAGAATAAGATCTCTCGGTAGTAAGGAAAACCAAGTTGAGCAAAATTGAAAAAAAGAAAGAGGGAGAGAGAGAGAGAAAGAAAGAGAGAGAGAGAGAGAGAGAGAGAGAAAGAGAGAGAAAAAGGAATTAAATGATAGACAGAGAGAGAAGGCTACGCTTATCGCCGTCGCAGTGATGTACACAAGCTAAACAATAATTACTTTTGTTTATTTATTATCATTTAGTATCACATTGCGTTCACTGTGTATTTTACGTGTTAAATTGTGTTTGTATGTATGTGCTGGCCTTTGCCCATATAGAAATGGACAAACGGTTATTACATTAAAAGAAATCTGTAGAAGCGTGATTGAAAAGAAAAGAAAGGGGAGGGAAACATAGAAGCACATCTTTGGTGTCACTGTTTCGTCATACATATTTTAGGTTGCGGTACTACATGTTGTTCTCGTCGTTTATTGTACACATAAAAGGGGGGAATGTCGAGCCCGAAAATCTACATAACAACGAAAAGGCACCAAATTCGACGACCCGCGTCAATAAAAAAATTTTATACACGGATGACGAGATACACACGCTTTTTTGTTTAATTAATTATTCGGCGACTACCTACATCCGCGACTTCACATTATTCCTCCGCCAGAAAAATGGTCAATACAAAAATATATATAATAAATAATTTAAACTACTAACGTTCTATCAATCCATTAATAATAATCCATTAATAATGGATTAATGATCAAAAATGGTTTCAATTATTTATTATTTAATTTTATTCATCGTCAGCTGACATTTTACACAAAAAAAAAATATATATATATATATATATATATATATTTATATGATTCTCTTGACAGCTGTTCGCCCTCTCGAAGAAAGAGAGAGATCACCACGCTTCCACGATACATAAAGAATTAAGATGAAGAAGAAGAAAAAACGGTTTTCTCTCTCTCGTTATTATTATTTTTTCTTTTGTTGTGTTTTAATTGTTTGTGTCTCAAAAAGACATTAGAACGCTTAAGCCTATGAACACATGAAATCACTGCCCAATCGTTTCTCCGCGGAATTTTGGACTCATTGTTGAGATTGAATAAGGCACTCTCTCTTGTGTGTACATGTGTGTGTGCGTGTGTGTGCGGGTGTGTATTTTCTATGTTATAATTTTCGAGTGGATTGCAGGCAGAGGTTCTCTCGGTGGAAAATCGCTTGGTCCCATTGCATTTCTTTTTTTAATCTTCAATAAATATAACAACGCTCGTCGCTATTTAACACTATATACAGCAGAATGTGTGTTGTGTATGTATGAAAGTTTCCGTGTGTTGCCGTGTCTATAATTATCAACTATATCGTTAGGCTGCATTAAGGTATAAGATCCAGCAATCTACTGTCCATATGGTCGAGCAATGGGATCTCGTGCGGACGGTACAATTGTATAATGTAACAATCGATTTGTTTTTTTTTTCTCTCGCTGATCGACAATAGAAATTTTCAACAAACAAACAAAGGGCTTGGGAAGTCTCGATTTATATTTACATCATCGTACTAATAAAAAAAATTCTCGGATATTTGTACACAAGTTGGGTGGGAGTAGGGAGTACGATGTGCTCCTCGTGTACTTGACGGTTAGCTCCTTTATAGATATATATTATCACGAACGTGGGGATCGAACACATTATCACATCCGCTGTCGTTAAACAACGTGGTAGCATCAACGACCAATTACTATTCGAGATCCCAATTGTTAGTTGCCTCTAGCTGCTCTGGTACTCGTGTAAGTTCTTGCTCAGTAGTAGACTATTGTGGGGACCTGACAGGTGCCTTATTAGCTCCGATTGGCTCTCAAAATTCAATTGGCAAAAGCAGCACGTGAATGTATTGTCAGCAGTGGCAATTACACCTCGATGTACCGAGCATAAATGTTTCAAGAGGTGAGCTTTTTGCTTGAACATCGCCACGCAAAGTCGACACGCAAACGGCTTTTCGCCGGTGTGAACGCGTAGATGAGTTTTCAAATTCCACGACATGCCAAACTGCTTGCCGCAGTAGGTGCATCGGTACTCGCGTACTGGCGTCGACTTTGGACTGTCCTCGGATGATGGTGCGGCTGGTGCTCGTGATGCTGGTATTGTCCATGCACCCCACGGTGGTTCTAATGCTCCAGCAGTTGCATCGGCTGATGGAGGTCGGTGGCTAATCATTGGTGGGGTCATTGACCGATCCTGCAACGGATAACACTTGTTAGATATTGTTCATTTGTAAGTTTTCTATTCCATGCCTTTCCCGGTTATACGTGAAATCTTTACGATAGTTTCTAAACTACTGCAAATCATTGGTAACAATCGTAAGAACTTAAAAAAGCTGTAGAACAATTTAAATTGTAAAAATTGTAAATTTTTTCAAAAATTGTAAACCCTGTAATTTGGTAAATTTTTTTAGAAAATACTTATACTTTCGTTTACGATATCTCACAATTTATGCTACTTTTTTGCACTAATATAGAATAGAAGCAAAATTATTATGGTGGCGCACATACATCAACCTGGTAATCGTTGATGTACCAACGGTTGTCGTTTGTATGAAGCAAAGTATACGGGTAAGTGTGTAAAATGTTTGAACTTCTACTTATTTATCGGAAATAGTTGAAATATTCAAAAATGTTTGTTTTTTAAATCAAATCAAATGAAATGTTTTGAAAAGATGGAAATCAGTGTTTACGAATTCAATAAATAATAATAATAACGAATTGTGCATAAAAATTAAGCAGAATTAAACGAATTGCGCTGGAAATATTTTACTCACATGAATATTTCCAATTTGGAGTACAGTATGAAAGAGAATTGAAATCATTATTCTTTATAATCGAGTGAAACAACTATTTGTTATTATTATTTCCAATAATATTTATCAAAGAGAGAACAAAAATTCATCGATACCATCGTTCATGTAGCTGGTTTTGATAAATACAAATAAAATAACAGACTAGACACTTGACGATAAAGTACTATTTGTAATAAACAGAAACTTACAGGAAAGGGGGGCGCAGAAACACTGAGCGCGTGATGTGGCGCTTGCAATCGTCTGACCGCTTCAAATCCCGGATTGAACGGTACGAATGCTGGGTTTTGCGCAGGTGCATTGTGAAATCCTGGTCTTCGCTTACGATGTGGCGTCACAACGTAAGCTTCTGCTCCGTGCATTGGAATATCCTCGGGTTTTCTCTTGGCTGTCTCCAAACCCAATGCCAACCTCGCTGCCAATTGTCGACGCTCCTCCTCGTCCAGTGACTCTCGTCTTTCCAATGCTGCTTTGTCATGTCGAAAGTTAGGCCTGAATGACAACGCATATTATTAGCCGACTATCGCTTACAATTTCATTGAGCGAAAAATAGGTTTTTCGTTCGCGAACCTTTGTTGATCTCGTTGGTCCCTCGACTCTCCCGATTGTTCCCTCGACTGCGACGCAGTTTCACTATTATTCTCCCTGTACTTCCCACTGTCATCGAGGCAACTTCTCAACGACGACTCGAGCCTGTGCACGATGTCGTGCGAACTATCGCTCGTCGTTGACGCCCCGGAATTGATGCTAAGATTTACAGGATCAGAACTATCCCTCCGCCTTGGAGGTTCAATGCTGCCTTCGCGATTGTCCGAATGTTGCGTATTCTCACCGTCGGCACTTTCAACACCCTCGACATCGACCTCAGCCTCGGCTTCGTCTTCGTCATCCTCGCATCCTTCTTCTGTTTTTATGAGCACCGAGCAGCACTCTGCTGGATTATTCGATTGCCTGTGAATTAGGAAAAGAAGATGCGATTAGGCAGATTCAGATATTATAATACGTATAGATATTTACGTTTCAGACGTTATCTTCTCGCCTTCCATGGTTATCTGTAAAATAAATATTGTACTTGATCAGAGTAGGTTAATTCGTTATATGTTATCTTGATATTTCATTCACTAGATTTGTCAACCTCATCAGTAACACTTTATTAAAACACAAAAACATAAAAACAACCAACAAAGTACATCGACAATAAACGCAAATGTTCAACTTACATAGGTCAACAATTGAAAAAACGTTTCATCATCTCAAAATGAGCTTCTCGACTAGCTGAAATTACATAGTACAATCGACATATTATCTATTATTTACCTCCCTTTCTCAATAATGGAATTATCGACTCTGAGTGCCACTGGAAAAGACGATTAATTTCCAATGATGATAGACATTAAATGTCACTGCGCTAGCAGTAGCAAAAAGATAATGTCACAAAATTGAGTAATACGTATAATCCACTAATCCTATTTTTGAGAAGGGGAGGCAGAGTAGGTTATATATCAATTGAACTATGTAATTTCAGCTAGTTGACAAACTCATTTTGAGATGACAAGACGGTTTTATAATTGTTGAACTATGTAAGTTAAAAGTTTTCGTATGTTGTCAATGTACTCTGCTGAATTGTTGTTTATTTTAATTATGTTTTTTATGCTTTAGTAAAGCGTTTCTGATGCGGTTGACAAATCTGGTCAACGAAACGTCAAAATGAAATATAACGTATTAGCCAACACTGATCGAGTACAATATTTATTTTACAAATATTCACTTTTCGTCAAAAATGTTCGCATGGGCTGTTGCTTCATTGACTGTTCATGAAGTGAAGGAAAAATTAACAGGTGTATTCGAGACTCTGACAATCAATTGAGGGGGTTTTCAAGCGTTAAAATTGGTTGATACAAAATCAAGAAATCACCCATTCAGTTCATTAAATTTCCCCGATGATTTGTGTTTATCATCGCGTTGAACTTCTCAGTAATAGATGCAATCTTGCGTGCGTATTTTTAATTGGATGAGAAGTTGAATAAGTACCTGCTGTCATATTGTGATTCGTAACTCGAACTTTCTTGGCCTTCCTCAGAAGGCTGCGGTGTGGGTATCCTTTCGATTTCAGAACTAGTTGAACCTTGTGACTGGCTTGGCTCGAACAGTTCCGATTTTATTTGCAGAAGCTCAAATAATTCTCGCAACGGTGTCAACTCCGTTGACTGAAAATCGATGCGAATTTCGTTAATATAGCCAGCAGTCGATAAACAAAAATAAAATAGAACTTACAGGTATGAGAGCTTCGCCATTGTATAGAAACTCTAAAAGATGGCTAAGTTGGGTCTTCCTGACACCTGACAAATGAACGACATGATCAAGGGCTGGATTTCGAAGTAGACTAGCCAATAACGGACTAGCAGCCGCGAGTACAACCCTGTGCGCGCGTACGACTGAACCGTCGTCGCAGGCGAGGGTAACGTCGACGTGACGATCACCCGTATACCAGGCGCCAACTTCCGCGGCTAAGGTTGCCGGGTGTTTGCCGTAGTGGAGTGTCAGTAATCCGTCCGGATACATCGTCTGCGACAGGTCCAATTCACCCTTTATTTTTGGAGGCAATTCATTGACGAGTTATTATCAGTGATTATCATTTTTGCTTAGTTTCTAACCGACAGTTAGGGGACGAACGCTAATCCAACGAATTCTACGTCATGCAAAAGTATTTTACTACAGATAAGCATTTATGCAGAAAAATAATAAAAGTAGTATGTGAATCAAAAGAATGCTTACATTTTCAATGATGCCATGTGACATCATTTTCGTGTTCCCTTTCGGTTGAGAAAATGCCACTGAACGTTCACCCTCCGATCTCCGACGATATGTACGGAATTTTCATGGCATGGGTCCCTATTTCTGAAAAACCGAAATTAAATCTCACTGAAATTCTGCTATGAAAAATGAAAAATAAATAAATATAATTCATACTCAAAACACGCATTCGAATGTGCACATTGAGCAACAAAAAAGTCATTGTGACGCATTGTCCAAATTCAAGAACTTTTTATCCTTTACGCTCGCTCGTATTTTTCGAAAGCACGCGTATGAAATTTCTTATCCGCGCTACTGCTTGTTTTTTCTATATTCCGTGGTCGTGCGGTGGTGCGATGTGTCATTTCATGCTGAACAGGACAGCGTATACATAGTTCAGTGCTGACCTTCGTTGCAATGCAGCTACGTGCGGGAAGGACACATAAGACCTTGGGGTAAAAGAGTCACGCAGCGGGCGTAAGCTCTCTCACTTCCACTTAGGCGTATCAGACGTGGCGCGAGATGCTGCAGTTGACATATTTAGATAGGAGGGAGTGAGAGTGCGAATTAGAATTTGTGAATGAAAGTATATTTCTGCTACCATACGTCTTATTGTACGATAATTAGAAATTCAAGCTTTTTAGTTAACTATGGTATCATTTTTCATTAACAATGAAGTGTAGCAAGAAGAACATATATTCCGTGTGAACGAGTCATGAAAACAATTAATGACATTTTATTTTTCCCCTTACCAGTTATGATCAGATAACCAGGTTTGTACGGTCTCTTCTATCTTTCGCAAAAAAAAAAATAGAGAAGAATAAATCTCCATCTCGATACAATTTTCATGCGCGTAATATAAAGTTGTATCACTAACTATTTTTCCTCGCTCATCCTGACTGCAGAATTGCATAACGCACTACTCGCGAACGAAGGTAATTAAGAACACGCACACTTTCAATCATCCACGCGCGGAAAAACTATTTGCTTCTTTTTTCGTTCTCTTTGAGCGAACTGTTTTTCCGATGCTGCAAATCAGAAATTCACAGGAGAGACATTCAGAAATAATTATCTTTGGTCGAAACGGAGGAAATAGGAGAGCGCACACGCACCGACCCGCGTCGCGTTCGGTTACTGGCAAACGCGCACTAAGTTCCCTCGGTCACGGTCGATTGTTCTGGCGACGCAGAAAGGCATCATTTCGTAATACCCATCGCGGTTTTCCATGCGCGAACTAATCATACTGATGGCGTCGACGGGAACTGGACATCGATGAAAGATCGCAGTTATTCTGGTCGAGAAGCCGCGCGTCTATAAACTTTTTTTGCGCGATAGCTCGCGAGTTATTGCATCCTCACGACAATAGGAAAACCGACGTCCTTGAATTTACCTAGCGATCCGTTAAAGAGAATACTGCACACGCTGCTGCGCTCGCTGGAGATCGTGAAAATCAAAAGGAAACTGGAAAAGACTTGCAAATTAAGTCAATCAAAGAAACGACTTGTTTGCATTCTCCATTCTCGGCGACGACGACGACGCCCACGTGCGCGTGGATTGCGATTATCCTTGCGTTGCATAGCGAATCAAAATAAATCGACCCTGAACAATGTGTATATTTATACATGTATATGCATGCAGAATTTTTTAAAGACAATGCGTTGGATTTTCTTCCTTTCAACTGTCTCTTATGAAAGCTTTATTTGATCGATCGATTAGTCGAGAAAACAAATTGCAGACGAAAAGATATGAATAAATTATGAAAAGTTGATTCTACTTTTCACTCGCAAATGATTCAAGACATTTTTCATGGAATTTCACATCACTTTTTCGTTTAGCGCTTGGAAGTATGATTGTATCTCATTAAACAAATTAATGCTGAGATTTATCACTTGAGGAAAATCACGAGTTGTTTTTGAGTGCATTTAAGTTGAAAAAGTGACTAAAAATATAAAGTATTTCATACTGTTAAACAAAAACACTCGTTAGCAAAAAAATATAATTAATATTCTCCAAATCGTCTTTTGACTCAAACACGCTAAATTCGAATCATTGAGTCTACGAAAAAAAAACATGCAAAATCATTCTCAGAAATAATCCACCTTTCACCTGCCAACTCACATAATTTCCTCGAAAACAACTAAATTGCAATAAAACAACTTCGCGTGTCTCATCAGATATATACTCGACGGTTCACTCTCTCTCTCTCTCTCTCTCTCTCTTTCTCTGTCGACGCCTCAAGTTCAAGGCCAATCTATTACGCCAGTACGCAACGATATTACGCGGACGAGGGCGGAGCCTTCTGCGCGTATATATACAGGCTGCTGCCAGGGTGGGAGGCGGGATTGGCCGAAGCGTGCTGCCACCGACGGGGTTTTCACGCATCTCTCGCTTCTTAGGGATCTACTCTACCGGCCGCGATCATTTTCTGTCAAATATAATCATGCGTGCTCTTTTTTTATTGCTCCAACCTATATTTGCTTGATTAACTTGTATACGATGTTGCCGTGCGCGTGAAAACTTAGGAAATATAGTAACGATCTAGATCGTGATTTTTTTATGCAGGCACGATCGTCGGAAAGGTAAATTTTAATGAGAGAATAAAACGAGCTCAAGAATTTTCAACTTATGTTTGCAATCAAGCAAGTCGCGAGTTCTTTTCTTTACATGAAAGTTGATTATAATGCTTTCGAAGAAAAAGCTCTCGATTTGATTCGTATGCCAATGTTTTTATTATTCCTGGCAAGATTAACAAGTTTTTTTGCAAGATTTCAATGTAAGTTATCCTTATATAATAACTCAGTTTCAGAATGACATATTCAGTACGAATACTTTCAACGATTTGACTAAAATTACACCTAGTTTTTTGAAATCCCATATCTCATAAAATAAAAGAAATGTATAAAGGCCCCCTATTGCCAAAATTGTAAACTCTCTCATGTTTCATCATCGCTTTTGAATTCTTGTTCGTTCTATAAGAGAAAGAAAATTGGTGTAGCCCCCTCACTTTCGCTCAATTCTAACGTTCGCATATAAAGTCGTGAAAGCGCTTATGTATTCGGCGGCGGCAGCGGGCGAAACATTAGGTAAGCGTGCCCACAGTGTTCGCGCGCGCGCTCTCTCGAATTGGGCCAGCGGAAGCTTGTCGCAACGCAAAAACTCGCTGAGCTGCCGCGCGCGCGCATGTGTATATGATAAAGAGGAAAAAAAAAGAATAGACACTCCCATTTCCCTTTCGCCCTTGTATCAGACAGAGAAAGAGATGTGTGATGTCACTTCGTGTGTGTACACTGATTGTGATCTCTCCCTCCTCTCTCTCTCTCTTGGCTTTTAATGACCGGAAAGTCAGTTTCTCTCTCTCTCTCTCTCTCTCTCTCTCGCGCTGTCTCTCGTAGTTATACAAGAGGAAAGTCCGCTCACAAGCGTGCTTTTTTATACGAAAAAGCGTAACTAAATACATTGTTGTTTGAATGTATAATTAAAAGTTAGCTCTGAACCAAATGATATTTTAATTATGATGGGCGAAAGAAATTTCAAAGCAAAACTAGAAATTGAGATAGTATAATGCCAGCAGCCGCCGTCGACACGCTTTTAGAGAGTTGACGTAACCACGTAACGAAGGAGAAATGTCGTAGGTGGGACCCACACACCATACCTCCCGAAAAACCGTTGATTACGATAAGAGGTGAAAGCTGCGCCAAACAGTGAAATTTTGTGGGTTTCGTTCGCCGCTTTGTGGCTTTGCACTTTTTTCAGGGATATCATTGGAATTTATTAGCTGTGAACGACTGTGCTTTTTTTTTTTAAGGGGACACTTAAACATTGTTTATTTTTGCGATTTTCTACCGAGGAAAAAATGTGCGAAAATAATTTTTATATACTTAAATAATATTTTATGAGCTCGTGGAAAATTGACGGGTCGTTCGTGACTCTTTTACTGTTATGAACTGGGAAAAGAAGCTGTAAGCTAAAATAAATTTCAAACAGTACAAATCGTAGAACTTGGTAACGAATCCTACACGTAACTCAACCAGAACCAACAGTAAAAATATTTTGCCGATTCCTTCCGCTGTCATTTCTCGTAATCGCTTCTGAGTGCACAAAAATAAATAAATAAAATAGTCTTTTAACGCACCTTCGAGCGCATCGCAAGCTTTCGCGGCGGTTGCTTCTCCCAGAGCAGGCATTGAATCGAACAATGACGAAATATCTGGGTTACGCAAATGTAACGCGAGGCCTATGAAAGAATATAAATGCTCGCTTTTGTACCACCAACCTTTCGCCACTTCAATTCCGGCGTCCTCACTCCAAATTATAAACAACAAGAAATACATATCCAAGTGGATTTCCACTTATATATAACGAGCCATCAGACTGGAACATTACCAATTCTCAAGGCTCGAAAGAAAAAAAAAGAGAGCGCGCGTTTTTTTTTCTTTTCGTAGTTACGTAAGAAATGTCACCTTCCGAACTCTACGCACGATTTCCATGCCCTTGGCCCGCGTGAAAGCCTTCGTCGTACAAAAGTGAAAAGAGTGTCGCCAGTCGAAGCGCGTGAAGTTGATGTTAAGGGTGAAAGATGGAGTCGTCGACGCGCACTGTACACTCATCGAAGGAAGATGACTGCTCGTTACGGCTTTTTAGAGCTTCCGCTCCAATTTTCCTCTGTATTTCCTTCTCTCGAACGAGCGAATCAATGACAATGCCTTCGCGATTCTAATCGTTTATTATTCGTGCCGACCGATTTCACGTGCCGGCGCTCGAACACACGCACACACAGACGTACACCTGGCCTCGCGTCATTTTCATCTGCGCCAATGCACATCTAGGCTTTTAATACGGCGCCTATTGACCGTGTAATCGATTTTCGAAATGATTTGACGCTAATCGTAGAGCACAATGTTCGTGTAATTAAGAAAAATGACGATATAGCTAGTAGACGAATTCGACTCGATACGTTATTTTATTGCATTTTTAAATAAAAATGTAAATGTAAATCCATGTTTAAATTGGAGAAAACATCTTTTTTTATTCTAATCAAAACATTCTTGAAATTGGAAAATTTCATATAAGAATGTAGCAAATTTAAGATAATTTTGATGAAGTAA